TTCGATTCCCATCATCCCATAGGGTCCCCAGAGCACAGCGCAAGGAGTCATTCCTGAGTGCATGAGACAGGAGGAACGCCTGTGCATCGCCAGTTGTGACCCAAAAAGAAAAAAAAAGCACTGTCTCTTTAAAAATAAATGAGCTGGATAACACTGGCAGCTGTGGGCAATTCAGCCCAGAATTACTGGGCGGTGACTCTAGGACCCGGGTTACTGCTTGGGACCACCTTGCTAAATCTGCTCCTCTTCTTCAATAGCCAACAAGATTTCCTCAAGTTTTCTGCTTTTAATTGTAAGCCCAGCGCCTAACACCATCTTGGCCTCCTAGATAACCTAACTTCAATTGACACCCAGACAGTAGTTGGAGACTAGAACCGGGAAGGCGAGGTTGTCACTTGTGGTCATATGGTATTTTGGTAAATTAAGATCTAGCTGAAGTAGCACACTTTTTTTTTTTTTGCTTTTTGGGTCACACCCAGCAATGCACAGGGGTTACTCCTGGCTCAGTGCTCAGGGGACCATATGGGATGCTGGGAATCGAACCTGGGTTGGCCGTGTGCAAGGAAAACGCCCTACCTGCTGTGCTATTGCTCCAGCCCCTCTTTTTTTTTTTATAAAAAGAGAAAAAGGGGTCAGAATGATAGTTACAGCGGAGAGGGCGTTTGCCTTGCACGTGGCTGACCCAGGTTAGATTCTCGGCATCCCATAATGGTCCTCCAAGCACCACCAGGAGTAACTCCTGAGTGCAGAGCCAGGTGCAATCCCTGAGCATCGCTGGGTGTGACCCAAGAAGCAAAATAAATGTTTACTTGTAGGTTATCTTTAAATTTAAAAAAAAAGGAAAAATGAAGTTAATTAGTGGGGCAGAGAAGAGCATAAATGAGCCCAGAGTGGGATCCAACAGCCCAACCCCACCTGACTTCCGGTCTCTCATCAAAGGACTTGATTAGTAACAAGCAGTTCTCTGTAGACAGTGTCTTAGGTGTATACCTCCCCCAATTCCTTGCTTTCTTTACTCATGCTCGTCTTTCCAATACTAAGACAGTTCAGAGGCAGAGACAAATGCTACAGAAGACGCTTGTCAATTCGCAAAGGAAATCTTAAAAAATCTTAATTTTCACGAAATTACTGAAAAACATCATCAGCCTAAGTAATTGCACTTGCTCAAATGTTTACACAGGGCCCGAAAGATAGTACAGCGGGTAGGGCATTGGCCTTGCACGAGGCCAACACGGGTTCGATCCCTGGCATCCCATGTGTTCCTCAAGCACTGCCAGGAGCAATTCCTGAGTGAAGAGCCAGGAGCAACACCTGAGCATCGCTGGGTGCGACCCAAAAAGCAAAAGAAAAAAATGTTTACAGAGCTGATAACAGAACCTAAGGACATGTGTCAAGTTTGGTTAACTTGATATTTGCACTTTTGTGTACGTTGTGCTATGGAATGATTATGATCTCCAGGAAAGGGTTTGTTCCTCATTTGTTTTCCTAGTCCAATGATCTGACAAAGAACTTACTGGAATATTTCCAATACACTTGCAGTGACTTACAAGGAAAACATTACCACAATGAATAACACTTTAAAAACTGCAAAATCTGGCAGTTTTGGAAAGTGACAACTTGTAAAGCTGATAAAAGAGCCAGGCAATTAGTCCAGAGGCCTTGATAATCTCCCTGGGCCCCTGGCACCACCAGGACTGACCCCTGAGCAGGAGCCTGTGTAGACGCCACCACCACAGGGTGTAACACAAAACACAAAACAAACTGACGAAAAAAGTAGATTTTATCTAAGGATGGTGTATTCACTGCAGTCTCAGTTTAATGATTTGCAAAATGATTCGAAATTGGGATCGCAGAGAGTGCAGGGTTTTAATGGGGCGATGCCTGCCACCAACCCAGTTCCATGAGCACTGTAGGGGATCACTGAGGATGACCGGAAGGGGCACAAACCCCGCCCCCTCCCAGGAAGAATATTAGAAACCTGTGAAGCATTTTGAAGTGCCAGACACAGTAACAACAAAGTCTCCAATGGAGACGTTACTGGGCCCGCTCGAGCAAATCGACGATCAACGGGAGGGCCTTTACCTTTACCTTTACCTTTTAAATTCTAAACTATAAATCATGAAACGTTTGGCCCAGTTCGTTACTTATTAATGAAATAATGAAGGGAATGATTTCTTTCCCTTCCAATTCCATTCAAACTTTAAGGGAATGAAATAATTCGGTAATATTGCAAATGAAAGTATGTTGACTATACAGTGATGATCCAAAGGGGAGCTGGCCTGTTTATTTCAGTGGGGATGTTCTTTGTTTGTGAAGTGCTAGGAATAACCCAAGAGGCCGGGTCCGATCTCGAATCTCTCCCACTTAGCCGCATTCCCAGTCAAAGCAACTTTTTGTCTCTGCTGTTTTTCTCGTTGCAGTGCCAAGGGTTGAATCCAGCATGCCAAGCCAAGCACTCTGCCACTAAGCCACGTCCCTGATATATAACCCTGGGGATTATATAGCAAGTAAAGTCTTGCAATCATTTTCTCTTCAGGACAATGAAAAAGTACTTGCCAAAATAGCCAAGAGAGGGGCCGGAGAGAGAACACAGCAGGTATGGTGCTTGTCTAGCACACCACCTTGCACCCCACATCCTAAGCATCCCAGGAAGGATTCCTGAGCACAGAGCAGGAGCAAGCCCTGAGCACTCACTGCCAGGTGTAGCTCAAAAACAAACAACAATAGAAAATAGCCAAGATTGGGGCTGGAATGATAGCACAGCAGGTAAGACGTTTGCCTTGCACATGGCTGACCTGGGTTTGACTCCCAGCATCCCACAGGGTCCCCTGAGCACTGCCAGGAGGAATTCCTGAGTGCAGAGCCAGGAATAACCCCTGAGCATCGCCGGGTATGACCCAAAAAGCAAAAAAAAAAAAATAGCCAAGATAAAGCACTCTTAAGGCTCAACAACAAAAACACAGGGAGAGGGTACCAGAGCCATCAGCTGACCTGGGTTCATTTCCCGGCATCCCATAGGGTCCCCCGAGCCTGCCAGGACTATCTCCTGAGTGCAGAGCCAGGAGAAACCCCTGACCATTCCTGGGTGTGACCCAAAACCAAAACCAAAACCAAAAAAAAAAAGGTAAAGGAAGATAGGCATTTTTCCAGAGTACATAAAGATGGCCCAATAGGCACAATCAAAAAATATTTTGCGGGGTTGGAGCGATAGCACAGCGGGTAGGGCGTTTACCTTGTATGTCGCCAACCTGCGTTCGATTCCCAGCATCCTATATGGTCCCCTGAGCACCGCCAGGAGTAATTCCTGAGTGCAGAGCCAGGAGTAACCCCTGTGCATTGCCAGGTGTGACCCAAAAAGAAGAAAATGTAAAAATATTCAACATCACTATCAGGAAAGAGCAAATCAACACAACAGTGTCACCTCATGCTAGCAAGAATGGGCTACAAGACGAAGACCAGAATTCGTAAGTGCTGGCGGAAACATGGTAATAATGGAACCTCACGCTCTGTTGCTGCATGGCACAATCTCTCTGGAAAATGGAAATAAAGCCTCCATATGACGCTCCCATTCCACCTGAGAATCTACTCCCAAGAACACAAAAACATTCACCAAAAACGACATGGGTATCTCAGTTCAGTGTCAGAGCTATTTCTGATAGCCACGATCTGGAAACTACCCGAGGGCCCAACATGAACTGAGTCAACTGTGATGTCTATACACAATGGGGGGTATGCGGCTACAAGAAAAGACAAAAACCTTGTGGTGTGATGCAACCTGGACGGAACTGCAAAATGTCAGGCAGGCTGAGTGACGTGAGAAGGTAAAAGATAAATACCAGCTGATCTCACTCATACGCAGAGCATAAACAAATAAAGGGTTGAGGCCATTCCTAACAGACACAAAGCCTGAGACAAGAGTCACAGAAATGGGAGCAGAGAAGGTGGGAGACAGAGACAGAAACACAGGGAAATGGTGGAGGGACCGAAGCAGCCACCTGCAGCTGTCAAATCCTACTTCGGTGCTACCAGAAACTACGAAACCTCAATCGACATTGGCTTTTACAGTGCAGTAGCCAGACTCCCAACAGTTCAGAGCACATTGCAGGAGAGCAGTATTTAAACAGGCACCGGATAAAACCAAAGGGAAATGAAGCTGAGCAAGAGCCCATGGAATCTTCCAGATTAGACACCAAAACCCAGAGTCCTACTTGGCAACTTCGTGCATGCAGATGACCTCGACTCTGGCTTTGTGCTCCAGCATCTTACTGCCTGGTGTTTGCAACTCAAACGTCGACCACATCATTTGGGGGATTTTCCCAAGCTCCCTGCAGGCCTTTGCTTTAACAGGGATCCTTGGGAGACACGGTCAGTGGAGGAGCAGACGCCAAAGAAGGCGGGTGCTGTTCTAAAGGCCTGGGCGGCATGAGCATCCCGGCTTTGGACCGGAACTGCAGAGGGGCAGAGCACAGTCGGGTGAGGATAATAGGGCAGCTGCAGAGTGGTGCTGATGGAGTGGGATCAATGCTGGGACCCCGGAGAGGGACTGGACAGTGACAAGCTGCTCCGTGAGTGATCACCTTCTCGTCCAGCTGCCAAGTGAGGCAAATCAAATCGAGCCGTGAATGGAACAAAAGGGGCACAGGCGGGGACCAGAGGAGAGGGCGTTTGCCTTGCACGCGGTCGACCCGGGTTCAATCCTCGGCATCCCATATGGTCCCCCAAGCACCGTCAGGAGAAATTCCTGAGTGCAGAGCCAGGAGGAACCCCTGAGCATCGCCAGGTGTGACCCCAAAAGCAAAAAAAAAAAAAGAGGCACAGACAGGCACAGAACAAAATTTCTCCAAGCCTGACTGTCCCTGATAAAGAGGACAGGGCGACAGTCAACTCTTCTCTCCTGGCTCTTTACAACAAGATCGGCGAGGCTTTATTTAGATCACGAAAAATAGCATTTTACAGAAAGGGAGCCGTAACATGACACAATAAAGGATAGCTGTAAAATCTCCAACACAAGCAAAGCTTTATTTAAATCGGTAAAAATAAAGTTTTACAGAAGATGAACTGTAACAAGCAAATAAATGGATAGCTTTATGGATTTTTTGCTATCAGTATCAACTCCAAGGTATGTTGGTAGTACACTGCGATTTCTAAGCAAAACTGCAAATTGCTGGGCAGTTACACAGCCAAGGAGTTTGTAAATGAATTCTAGTTGCTGCTAACAAATAACTATAAAATATTATCGCTAACAAATAACTAACAACTACTGAAATAGTCTACTGTATGCAATTCCATTCTGTAAAATGTATATGCATCAGTATAGCTCTTTTCCTGCCATTACAGTTTTCATGAATACAATGGCAGAGGTCACATATTAGAGCCCTTTCAGGCACCCAGGAAGTAATCCGTAACAGAAATAACTTCAGGAAGGGAGATGGATCAAAGGGCTAGAGCACATGCTTCACATGTGGGAGGCCCGGATTCAATCCCCAGCACCGTATGATCCCCCGAGCACTGTCGGGAGAGGTCCTGAGCACTACCGGGTACTGTGCCCCCCCGAAAGAAAACATTTAAATATGAAAACAACTCAAACAAATGGGCCTGCCCCTACTGGAAGCCCCCCGTCCCCACCCCAGCCACTGTGGAAGGAAGGTCCACCAACTCCTAGCTCTCTACAAAGCTAGGAGAGAAGCAATTGTTCCAGAACCCCGAAACGTCAGTAGATCGCTCTGGGGTTTTTGGTGCTGTAGTGCGCCTCGCAGGCGGCCACGTAGGCAGACTCTGGGAAGAAGTCATCATGGTACTCAGCTAGAAACCTGCAAGAAGGGAAACAGAGGTCCCGGTGATGATCACAGGTCGGGCAAAATACCAGGAAGTCAAAGCTGAGCTTCCGGACGCTCTCATGTTTACATTAGACAAAGGAAGAAGGTGGTTGTGATTTCCCTATAGAGGTGACTTCCACCCACGCTACTATCTGGTTTATATGTTAATCACTCGTTCATAGAAGCCTTTCATGAACTGTACAAAGAGAATTAGAACCAAAATTCCACTAGGTGGCAGTCTTAGTACAGAAACCCTTAAAATAAGAAACTCAAGGCTTTTTTCTACACTTCCTGGTGCAAGCCTTAGAGAAAAACCTGGGGCCCGGGTAAGGGATAGGTGCTTGGGCACTGTACAGCTGAAACTCAATCAGGAACAACTTTGAGCCTTTTTTTTTTTGCTTTTTGAGTCACACCCAGCGATGCACAGGGGTTCCTCCTGGCTCTGCACTCAGGAATTACTCCTGGCGGTACTCAGAGGGCCCAATGGGATGCTGGGAATCGAACCCGGGTCAGCCGCGTGCAAGTCAAACACCCTACCCACTGTGCTATTGCTCCAGCCCCTCAATACGTTTTTTAAAACAGAAGTAAGCCCTTAGCAAAAACTCTAGGGGGCCAAAGAGATAGTACAGCCATCAGGGCACTTGCCTCGCACACAGTGAACCCAGCTTTGACCCCCGGCTTCTCACCAAAGTGATCACTGAGTGCAGAGTCCTGAGCAGGCCTGAGCATCGTTTGGTGCAGCCCGGAATCCAAAAGCCAGAAACAACTCAAGTTTGAGTATGTACAAAGAAAAGTTATACCCTTTCTTCAGTTCCTCCTACACAACATGTAAAACTAAATTATCAATCTTAATCCCGTCTATTAGAGAAAACTTTTTTCTATCCTGTTAATGGCTAATTGGATTCCTGTGGCAAAACGAAAAGCCTTGATTCACACTGGATAAATTATGGGGGGAAAGAAAATGCCAAAATCTCCCCATATTACAATTCTAGTTGGAAGCAGCTACTTAGGTCAGGCTGCACTGAAGCAGCCGTGTTAGAAAGGCGAGTCTTTTTTTTCTTTTTTTGCTTTTTGGGTCACACCGGCGATACTCAGGGTTACTCCTGGCTCTGCACTCAGGAATTAGTCCTGGCGGTGCTTGGGGGACCATATCGGATGCTGGGAATCGAACCCGGGTCGGTCGAGTTCAAGGCAAATGCCCTAGCCGTTGTGCTATTGCTCCAGTCCCGGCAGAAGGTTTTAAAATAATTACAAATACCTCAGAAAGAGATCAAAGTGCTTCAATAAAGCCTTCAGATTCTTCTCGGCGAAGGACATCTTCCCAAGAATTTCCGGAAGTTTCACTGCAGTACAAACAAAGCAAGACCATTTCCAACTGTAGAATGGCCATGTGCAGGCCACGTCGGGGACCCTCTGGACCACTTTCTCTTTATTCAAACTCACATCTACATTATCAAACACAGCCAAAACATCTGCTAAACAGAGGAGCGGTACAAATATTACCGTTTTGACAAAAATTAAGATTCATTCAGTGCTCTGTGGGGGAAGAAGTCCCCTTTCAAAGATTTTCCTCAAAGTGTCAGAGGATGCACCTAAGCTAACAGGCTAACTTCAGTTAAAATCAAAGTGTAAAGGGGGGGGGGGATTTGTTACCGAACAATCGCAGCAAGTGTTGTGCCCCATAAATAAATGAGGCTGGAGGCGGCTGGTCACTCGGGGGGTAACTTTCAGGCACAAGTTTCCAGGAAAGTACCTAGAAAAGCGTTAAGAAAATAGCGCTTTATTATTCTATCTGAACACTCAGCTACCGACAGATGACGGCATCTGGAATCCTGGCAGATGTACACCGGCTTTCGTGGTCTCACAGCAGCGGCTTAAAGTCACAGAGCAGATGTGACTTCCACGCCCGAGCCTGTCCTCTACCACCCCAGGAACTGATACAAGAGCAAACGTTGAAACTCCAGGGAAGTGCTCAGCCACCCATCGGACTTCCCATGATCGCTGTCTGCGGGCATGAGCCAGGAATGTGGAAGGCTCCAACCTAGGATGCTGAAGAGCGAACTATAAAAACACCCAGTTCAACCCACCTGTGCAGAAAAGTCAACGATCTCTAAGATAAGGTGTGAAATGAAATGCCTCCAAATCTATCTAGGAGAGACCAATATTTGGTGCTTTTCCATTGACAATACGTGTACTTTCTAGACAGAGACTGCTCACTAGTTTGTACGGTAAGAGTTTCCCATCATTGGGATCAGAGTGATAGTACAGTGGATAGGGCATTTGCCTTGCACGCGGCCAACCTGGGTTCGATTCCCAGCATCCCAGATAGTCCCCCAAGCACCACCAGGTGTAATTCCTGAGTGCAGAGCCAGGAGGAACCCCTGAGCATTGCTGGGTGTGACCCAAAAAGCAAAAAAAAAAGTTTCCCATCATTTCTTCCAAACAGCTTAGCTTTTTAAATAAATCACAGGAGGGTTGGAGGGCAAGTACAGCAGGCAGAGAGCTGGCTTTGCATGTGGCAAACCCGGATTCAATCTCCAGCAACCCAGAGCGTCCTGCACGCCCCGCCAGATGTGACCCCTGAGCACAGAGTCAGCAGGTGTTGCCCACAAAGAGCTAAAAAAAACCCTAAACAAAAATAAAATAACTCAATTCACTTATTTAAAATATAAGAAGATAAATACATCTAACTTCTTTGGGAACTCGGAGATACTTCTAATCACCTAAAAACTGACAACTGTGTGTGTAGAGGAAAAAATATGCCCCTACATCAAAATAAATGTAAGCTTGGAAACAGAATGATTATACGGCAGGTAGGGTGTGCGCCTCGCACCAGGCTGACCCGGGTTCCACCCCCAGCACCCGATGTGGTCCCTGAACGCAGTGCCAGGAACAATCCTTTCACCCCAGCGCTCAGCGCATGCAGCAGGTGCGGGGCCATGGGGGCAGTCTCCCTTTGGTAGTGCCAGGGACGGAGGCCAAGGCCTCACCCCAGATGGGCAAGCGCTCTCCCAGAGTCAACGCCCAGGCCCGCCAGACCCGCAGTCTGGGTTACTGGTTCCACCAGGACGGCGGTCACCTGTGGGGCGCACGCAAAGTTATGAAGCAGCAACTTTATGGGGCAGGCTTTACTGGCCTGGAAGCAAATTTGCTTCCAGATGAAAGCCTGAAGCCCAGGGCCTAGAACAGTGCTTCCTGATCTGTTTTCTGAAGCCAGTCCCGCACTCTGGAAGAAGGCAAGGTGCCTGCTTCAAAATGGTAATTTCGAGGGGCTGCTGAGTGATTTTTTTTGGTTTGTTTGTTTTTTGGGTCACACTCAGCGATGCACAGGGGTTACTCCTGGCTCATGCACTCAGGAATTACTCCTAAAGGTGCTCGGGGGACCCTATGGGATGCTGGGAATCGAACCTGGGTCAGCTATGTGCAAGGCAAATGCCCTACCCACTGTGCTATTGCTCTAGCCCCCACTGAGTGATTTTTTTCCTGCAAAGGCGGTTGTTATGGCCAAGTAAGTTTGGAATTCTTTTTCACAAGGGCAAGAGGCTATACTGTCACCAACAGATGCCAAGTCCACACAGCAACCCAGAGCTGGACTATTCAGATGCCTCAAAATGTCAGAGTATCTCAACATACCCTTAAATACTAGCACCAAAGTGTTCCAGAAGGAACTGCCTAGAAGTTTCCTGACCACCTCTCAACATCACTCTAAGCAAACAGGGTATTCCAACTTCTCCAGGGTCAGCCACAGCCCTCGCACCTGGTCCAAGAGACCAGACGGAGACCAGGAGGCTCACAAAGCCTCAAATAGTTCTTCTCCGGCCTTCTGCAGAAAAGTGGCTGAGCACCTGTCCTACATAGTGAAATACTTGAAGGTGAGAAGACAGGACGGCGGGTAAGGTACGGGCCTCGCATAGAGCCAACCCAGGTTCGATCCCTGGCACCAAGTATTGCCTCCTGAGCACAGAGAGATCTGATCCCTGGGCAGGAGAAAGTCCTGACACTGCTGAGTATGGCCAATATCCAAAAAAGCTCACCCTTCAGTAACTGTGCTTGCTTACTGTTTTTTTTTTTTATTTTTTGGGTCACACCCGGCAATGCTCAGGGGTTATTCCTGGCTTTGCACTCAGGAATCACTCCTGGAGGTGCTTGGGGGACCATATGGGATGCTGGGAATCGAACCCAGGTCGTGCAAGGCAAACAAACGCCCTACCCGCTGTGCTATTGCTCCAGCCCCGCTTACTGGTATTTTTAAAATGAGCCAGGGCCAGAGCTGAAGTCCAACAGGTAGGACATTACTGCACAGGTCTGAGCTGGGTTCAATACCCAGGACCCCAGATGGTCCCCCCGGCCACGGCAGGAGTGACCCTGAGTGCAGAGCCAGGAGAAAGTCCTGAGCACCGTGGAGTGTGGCCCAAAAACCAAAGACGGAAAAGACAGTAAGTGTAAGTATAGACTCCTAATGATTTTCTCATTTTAGAAACCCAAGGCCCTATTTTGTGCATGATCATATGAGCAATTTTACCCATTTACACAGCCACCCAACACTTCCAAGGAAACACGTCGCTCCCTGCTACCCCTTCCCGGGGACTAAGGAGAGAAAGAACCAGGAAAGGAAGATCAATGCTAGCTTTTTACCTCATTTATTTCATTAGTTCTTCTGCCTTCAAAGCCAGCAAACACAGTGTTCCCTTCCTTGCTCGGAGTCAGAGGAACAGGCGAGGAAGATCTGCTATGCACGGGTGTCTCTTCAAAGGGAAAAGAGGGGAATTATCAGTCTGCATCCAAGCCCGCCACAAGACCAGGCACAGGGCGGAGAAACTACCCATCTCTAACAAGTGAAACTCCCTGTTACAAAAGGCAGTACCCAGTACCTATTTTGGCAACAACAACAAAACACACCACGAAATCAAGTACTGGAGGGATGGGTACTGGATCACTGTGTGACTGAAACGCAAGCACGAAAGTTTGTAAGTCTGTTAACTGTACCTCACGGTGATTCACTAATAAAAAATTTAAAAAAAAAAGAAATCAAGTACTGGGGCCAGAACAACAGCACACAGACAACCCAGGTTCCATCCCCGGCATCCCATACGCGTCCTGATCTCCACCAGGAATAATTCCTGAGTGCAGCGCCAGGAATAACCCTGAGCACCACTGGATGTGTCCCCCCAAAACCAAACATAAATAAATCAATAAACCAAGTGCTGAGGGCTGGAGATCTAGTCCAGGGATAAACGCTGGCTTCGCATGGAGCCAACCCTGCCTCAATCCCGGGCATCACTAACGGTCCCCCACCAGCAGCAGGGGTGATCCCTGAGCACTGCCGGGTGTGGCAAACCTGCTCCCACCCTTCAAAATGAAATCAAGTACTGACAGCTCTCCCTGGAAAACACATGAAGTGCCAGAGGTGCCGACAGCACACCCCGTGCTGTATGATTGCCCGGGACAAGCAGCAGGAACTGGCTGCCGGGCAGAGCAGGCCAGGGCTGGCCGAGCCCCTCTACCCCCCGCGAGGTAGCCGTGCCCTCCCGGGGGGTGCCCGGCCTGTCTTCGGTGACCTACTCTTCTCCAGGTGCAGGAAGAGTTTGGGCATGTTGGCGGACGTGTCCTGCTGCCGGCGCTTGGGCTGTGGCGACGCACTGCTCTCCGACAGTCTGTCGCAGCTGGCCGAGTGGCGCGTGGAGCGCCTCAGAGACTGCAGGGCTTCGGGCTCGGCTTTGCGTCTCTTGGGGGTGGCGGGCTCCCCCGACGTGGGCTGGCTCTCCGTGGACTGCGGCGTGGACGGGTTCAACAGAGGGGGGCTAGGAGAGAGCTCCTCCTGGTTCCTGCAGGACACAGAGAGCACGCCCCCCCCTATGCCGGACCGCCTCCCAGCACGGAACCGGCACAGCGCTGTCCCAGGGCACAGCGCTGGGACAAACAGTTCCCGGGGCCAAGGGGAGGCTGAGCACTGCCGGCGCAGGCACACACCATCTCCAGGGGAGAGCGCCACTGCCACCTAGCGGGCCCACACCAGGCTGCAGCTCAACCGTCACCCTTGCAGTCCAGGGCACAGGCTCCAAATCCGAGGCCAGGAAGGGGAAAGGTTCAGGGGGAAGGACCCGCCCCAGACTCCCAGACACAGGGAGCAGCCAGGTCTGGACCTGGGCACGGGGACAAGGGCTGGTCCGCAGTGAGTGACGCCTGGCGCGAAAACGAGAATGTCAGTCTAGAAGGGACCAAGGTCACCAAGCAGAGAGGGGGCGGGGAGGGGGTGGCGAGGGTGAGCGCGCCCAGGCAGGGGGCGAACCCTGGGGCCAGCCGCACCCAGGAAGGGCCGCGACGGACACACGGAGGTAGCTTGGAAAGGGGCAGACTTGCCCTGTGGGGACCCCTCCCATCCAGAAAGAATAGATCTGCGCATATTTGGTTGCTGAGGGGAAAGTGTGGTGGCAGCAAGGTGGCCAGCCAACTGCAGGGCCGACGCCCCACCAGAGAGCTAGTGCGTCAGTGCCTAACCTCTGTCTCACCGGCCGCCTGCCGAGAAGGCAAGAGCGACTCCAAACCCCAACAGCTGCCATTTGGAAAAACGAAGTCATGAAATTTGCTTATACAGGGGTGGACACAGAGTCTCAAGCTGGAGAAATGAGTCACACGGAGAGGGACAGACGGAGGACGACTGTGCTCATTTGTGGGGTGTAACAAAAACATTGTATGTGAGTAATACCCAAAGACGGTAGAAACGAGAGCCCGGAGGACTGGTCTATGGTCGAAAGCTGGTCACGAAAGCGTGCGGGGGACAGGGAAGTCAGGACAGAGAAGGGACCGCAGAGACAGTGACAGTTGGAAATGGTCACACGGTACACAGACTGAGTGCTGAAAAGGAGGGAAAGTGATATGCAGGATACCCTCTCGGTAACACCACTGCAAACCACAGTGCCTGAAAGGAAACTGAGGAAGGGGGAGATGGGGGAGAGGGAGAGAGAGAGAGAGATACACAGAAGAGAGACGTAGCATGGGCAGGGGGGACGGGTGGGAGGAAAACTGGGGACATGGGTGCTGGGGAATGTCCATGTGAAGGGACAGGCATTGGAACATTATAAAACTGACACTCAGTGAACAACTTTCTAACTTATATCACGGTGATTCAAGAATAAAATTTGAAACAAAAAGCTCCTCAAAACCGTTCCCCGGGCTGGAATCCGCACTGTGCCAACTCCTTCAGAAGCATCTGAGAGGGCCAGAAGACTTCGCCTGGCCGTGGGGTCGAGGGGCTCCCTCCAGAACCACAGTGAACTATTTGCACCGCGCAGGCTGCGTCACTTACCTATTAGAGTTTGTGGCACTTTCCTTAATCGGAAGAAAAAATTTGGATGAGGTCACCTTTTTATACTGAACTTGTTCATACGGATAGAGCAAAACCAACGGAAGAGTATAATCGAAGGTTATTCGTAATCCATCCACCATCTCCTTACAAAGGTCAACACTGAGAGGACGAGAAACACGCAATTAGATCCGTGAAAGGCTTTCCCAACTGCCAAACAAGGAAGTCGCGCTTTTTTTTTTTTAGCCAGGGAGAGTGTCAAATACTATATATTAACAGCTACACAGATCGAGAATGCAATTAATTTATAGGTGCTAACGATAAGGACGTGGGAACATAGAGCTATACTAGAAAGTGCAGAAAGTGCACTGGTCATTTTAACTTACCACACTGAACACAAAAGAAACAGTTCAGTGCCAACGAGCAGCCCAGGAAGCCTGTGCTGCGGAAGGTGGACAGACCCCAAACACTGGGAGCGACCAGGGACCACCCCCCTGAACTCCTCCTAACCCTTGCTTCAACTCCAACATCTACCTGTCTGACTCGCCTCCAGCTGGGTCACGTGTGCAAAGCAGATTACGAGGACGATTGCCCTGACTGGAATAAAAGACCTGATTGTAAAGAAGCTTTGATAAAATGCTCATCTTTCATTCTGGTGCTTCTCAAGGCAAAAGAATTAGCTCTCCTCAATTATATAACCGAGAAAAAAAAACTGTACTGGTCTCGATGCGGAGGCAGCGCGGAGACCCCACGCACCCAGACCACATACGCGGACAGTCACAGAACGGGACAATACTTTCAGGTTCGCTTTGTTACTGAGTTGGTACAGGCTCGATTATCAAGTGACAAATGAAATAAATTGCGGACGACTGAAATGGAGACAGGGTTACCATATTAGTCACTTCCCTACTATACAAAGAGAGAACCATGAAACACCAATCCCCTCCCACCCGACTCACTTCTTTTCTGCAGGGACATAATGCACATTCATGTTGGAGTGTGGCATAACATGATGGTGACGAGGCCTCTCACTGGCTGAAAAGGCTGCATTTATAGCAAAATGCTTCACATACGATTCCAAAATAGTTATGATGTTGGTCTGGCATGGAAGTTTCACTAACTGTTAACAATAATATAGACATTTGATTTATGCATCCCATTGTATATACCATATATTCCAAGAAACCCTGGTCTAGTCTTTAGCACTTTTTAGCTCAAAAGCAAAGCCAACTCTGTTCCGAGAATCTTTTCGATAAGGAGGTCCTGAAGCGCTCCGTTTGGTCGCGTTCCGACCACATCCCCCTGGAGCTGACCGTGTTACTTCGGAAACCAGTGGACCTCAACCGAACCACCCGTGAGCCTCCAACGCTAGATCCACAGCCAACCCCCGCCACAGACCAATTACGCTGAAAGCTTTTGGCGGCCGCCTGGGCCGTCGGGGGTTTGCGAAGCTCCCTGGAGGGCAGTAAGGGCAGCCAGGGCGGAGGGCAACTGTGCTTCCCCTGCATGGGCAGCGGAGCACTATTCCCAGAGAACTCTGACAACAACCTGAGTCAGGCCAAAACTTAAGAGGTATCACTGCTCCAAGACTCTCCATCGCTGGAGACTGTGATCGCCAGAGAGGGCGACATAACGAGCTCTACCACGAATCTCTGTTTGGTGTTCTCCCTGTATACCCGTTTCCTCCTGTTGATATAGTAACAATCGTCTTCCAGCTTCTTCTTCAGAACCTCGGGGATCTCTATAGTTATGCTTCTCTCTTCCATCTCCCTTTTAGGGTGCAGCTCTGGTTCTTCCTTCTGCAACAGCACAATTCTCATTTTAACGACTTCAAACACTCGTCCCAAGAAAGCGTTAGACAGGAAAGCCTGCCATGAAGCGAGCCTAAGGGGATCCTTAGAGTTACGCCAGGAATGGAACGTGTGCACAGCTTCTACTGCAAAGCCCGTTTGAGGCCTCAAAAGCAATTCCGGGCCTCCGTGAGTGGCCTGCATTCATCCCTTCCCCACGTCAACTCATCAGTGGGATTGATGTTCACTTCGAGAGCAGCAGAGACAAAACTCTAATAAGCAACACTGAATCGAGCAAATCCCCATTATAAAGACAGAAAAAAACCAAATTCACCATTTCATTGGCAAGAAATAGGCAGCTGTGATTTGTGAGGATGCTTTGTGTATAAAGAGCAGGTGAGTGGCTCATACAGTAAGTTCCCATGAGATGCTTCCCCCGTATATCAAGTACAACTTTGGACTATGTGGCCTGAAAAATGTGTTCTTACGGAATAATTCACAGCTGGAGAATTTTACCATTAAAATCAGTACCGCTAAAATCTATACCCAAGACAGTTTTTATAATGAAAACTTTATACCACTTCTCTCTTTCCTTCAATATCACTTTCTTCACTTATTTCTTCATCCTTTTCTTCACTACTGTCCTCAGAGGAAGTGCTTATTGCTAGGTGAAACAAAAGATATCAGGCAAAGGGCATTATTGGGGACCGGGAAAGGCTGAAAGCACATGCTTTGCATGCAGGATTCCATCCTTAGCACTGCACACTCCCTCGAGCACCCCCACAAGCAACCCTCTGAGCACCAAGCCAGCAGGAGCATTTCCCCCAGACAGGCAGGTGTGGCCCCCACCCCAAAGAGAAAGCAAAACTGTACAAGTCCCTGTGACCTCCCTGACCCTTCCACACAGAACAGTTTTTCAGGTGAAGAGTGTTCGAGCGCCTGCAGTAAGAAAATGCAGTCCTGCATATATCTGATGTGCTGCATGCAAACACGTCTTTCAGAATGGAAATGCACCGAGAGAAACGGAACACCAACTTAACGGCGGCCCTGAACCACACAAGTGATCTGGAAGTGTTTAGTAACCCCGGGTCCTGTGGGTCCCCTGGACGTTCCCAAGTGGGCCCCAAGGCCAGGATGTGCCGAGAACACAAGCTGAGAATGGAACCCTGAGCGGTGAGGACCAGTCAGTGCCCCAGCTGGCCATGGTCCGGAGCCTGACTCGTGAGATTTAATTATGGGCTTCTGGACACTCCAGTTGGTCATCCACAGAAGAGACCAATGCAACGGGCTGCAAATGTGTCCCCTGACTATAATTCTAACAAAACCTGGCCTCCACAGAGCCTGCAGTGTGCGAGAAGCAGGACTGAGGGTTTTTTAGCCAGAGTCCAGTCAAGTCCAGCCACTCACAGTTTTCATCGTTTTCATCAGTTTCAACAGGAAGGCTTTTTAAGACACAATCCACACCCGGCAACCTGCAGCGCCGCTTCTTCCGTCCTGAGCTTCTCCTGAAAAGCATCAAATTTACAAATTCAACACCAACTCGCATGAGTCTTGAGACAAAAAGATCTCACTATGATTCTTAAGTGCCCCAAAATTATTAAATTTTAGCATATAAATGATAATCTCCATTTCAGCAACATAACCTCTCAGAAAAGAGCAGTTATTTAGAAAGCAATGGAAACTATTAACTATTATAGTTACTTTTTAAAAAAGTCCTGCTTGTTTGTCATATAGTAGGGCTGATTAAAGAATATAAAAAGAGCAAGCACACTGACTATCAAACACCGATAGCAAGACTTTTGTATTCTTACAAGCGAGCTACAGCTTTTCTTGCCAATCTGCGCTGTAATCTCCGATTTTCGTCGGTGTCCCGAAGTACATGATCTTCAGCGGCCCATCGGTCCCAACTAATCAGACAAAAAGAGGGGGGGGGGGAAGCAAAATTCAGCATTCTTTGATATGGAAAAAATTGTTGAAAGCGCCTCACAGAAACGAAAAGGGTTGCAGAACTATTCAGTTTAGAAAATGACCGCAGCATTTCTAAAATCACAAATAAAGGATGCAAATAAACTCTACAAAAACGACTCATTCAGACAAAGAAACGGGGGCTTCCAGAATTCCAGAGATTCCTAACGGCACCAGCTGCTTTCAAGTAAACACTGAAAGTAATGAGCAAGGTTTAGTGACAAAGACACACACACACACACACACACACACACACACACAACCAACCAGGAAACAAAGCTGACCCACAACCGTTTCTACAACTGAACACAGAAGTTTGCCACGACCCCGTGCGCTCCAACAAGTGCACTCACCTTCGGTTCCAACCATTAAAATGGATCAGATATTCTGGAATCTTCCTGCCTTTCTCGTCTTTCCCAATAATAACATCGACAATCTGAAAGCAGGAAATGTCGGCCACAAACGCTAGAACCGTCTGTGCTATTAGACACCGCACTGGGGACGCTTAGGACCTTTTTGGCCGAGAAAACAAAGCATTCTCTCTCCTTTTTTAGCCCGAGAGCCTGAGTTGAAACATTTTTCCTTTCAATTCCATTTTTTTTCCCTGAGTGGATGTCTCAAAATAGGAAACATCCCTCCACGCGGCGCGGGATTGGCCCCGCACGGTGACACCGCGCGCAGCCCGCGCGCCCATTGGCCGGCCCGTTTGTCCTTAGAGAGCGGCCGGGCCGCCGCGCCGCCACCCGGGGACACCTGGGACTTGTAGTTTCGGGGCGCCGCGGCGGCCCAAGCACCCGAGACTTCTCGGCGGGGGGTTCCCCCTGGGGCCGATGCGGGCCCGACCCGGCATACCGCGAGAAGGGGGGCTGGGCCCCGATGGGGAAGGCCCGGCCTGGCCTCCCTCTACCCCCCAACCAAGAACCAAGCCCACCCCCACCCCCGTTTCCCAGCGGGCCCCGAGCCGCTCGGGGTGGGGGGGGCTCAGGCGCCTCCTCCCGGCATCGGCTGGCGGACAGGCCCAGGGTACGACGCGGGGATCGGCAGCGGGGGCCCCACCCCCCCGGCGTCCGTCCCTGGGGACGGGGCCACTGCGGCCTACGGAGACACGAGGTAGCCACTCACGCCCGGCACTGGGGCGCTACGGCTGGGCCCGGGGTCTGCCTGTGAGGGGACCGGAGGAGACCGTTAACACGCCGACGGAATCCAGCCGCCAGCGGCCTCCTGGACGCGAGGCCCTCGCCGGGCTCCGGAAAGCGCGGCGGGCCCCAACTGCCGCCCCATCGGCCCGACGGCACGTGCGCCAGCTGCGCTTGCGCAGCACTCCCCCCTGGCCACCGCCGAACCGGAAGCGCCCCGCCCCGCCTCTCCCCGCGCCTGCGCGCAAGCGCGCGCCCCCTGCTGGCCGTAGGCGCAGGCGCACGCCCCTTGCTGGCCGCGCGCGCAGGCGCAGGCGCAGGCGCGGTCCCGGGAGCCAGTTAGGGGAGCGCGCGGCCCCGCCGCTTCCCGGGTCCGCGCCGCCGCTGCCGCCGCCGCCGCTGCCGCCTCCCGGGCCCGCGCCGCCCGGGCCACGCGCCTCCTCCCGCGCCCTCCGCGGCGGCACCTTGGCATCGTACAGCACTCGCGCCTTGGTGGGGTCAGGCTCGAAGCACAGCACTTTCTCCCCAGAGTGGAACTGACATCTCGTGCCCCCGCTCGCGCTCATTTGCTCATCGCGGCACGGGGCGCGGCTCCGCGGCGGGCGGGGCGCGCGCGTGGGGGAGGGGCGGCGGCCGCGCGGGGTGGCGGGGGCGGCGGGACGGGACCGGGACTGGCCGAGGCCGCGGCGGAGCCCGCCCCGTGCCCGCCCTCAGAGCCCGGCGGTGGCCGGGGTCAGGCCGCTACCCTCTGAGCCACCTGTCCGCGCCGCCCCGGGGTCCGCGCCCCGGTGCACGCGCCGCCGGACTCGGTGCCGAGCGGCCGAGCAAGCGCCGGGCCCGCGGGCAGGTGACCGATCTGCCGCAGTGCTCCCCAGGTGCGACCCTGCACGGACACGAGGTCCGTGTTCCGAGTCCACCGCAGCGCCCGCAGCCGGGACGTAGGGACAGGCGGGGGCGCCCCAGGCGTGCTGGCCGAACCCAGGCCACGGCTGCGGACACGGCCCGAAGCGCACCCCCGCCCTGTGCGGGATGGGAAGTTTGCTCGGCAGTGCAGTGACAGACAGGCTGCAGCTTGGAGGCAGAGTGACAGGTCGCGAGCTGGCAGTTCTCCACGCTTTGGATTCAGATCTTGTCTCCCAAGGTTGGCACATGCCTCCCGCTTCTGGGTAAACAAGCTCTGCATTTCAGCTTGGATGTAGCTGAGAGGAAAACCCTAGAGCTCCTCTCAAGGAATCCCCCCTCGTCCTGTTCCTTCCCGGCCCTGCACATCGCCTTTCAAGCATTCGCTCCAATACCCTGGAATGGGCTTTTTTCCATGGCAAATACCCACTTTAAGATACTTGAATTCGCCTGGTGGGGTGGGGGGAGATAGGGAGCTAATATCTCACCCAGCTCATCTTTGGATGCTTCTGGTAACAAATATTTATCGCATCCATCAGTAAACAGATGACAGCGTTACGAAATAAACGCCACAAACTCATTGACCCATTGGATGTGAGGGAGAGGGGTGGAGTCAGCTTAGTACATGTGCAGGTTTCCGGACATCTTAGCTGGGTGCGTGAGAAATCCATGGGTTGGGGGGGGGGGGGGGCTGGAGCAATAGTACAGCGGGTAAGGCATTTTCCTTACATGCGGCTGACCCGGGTTCGATTCCCAGCATCCCATATGGTCCCCCAAGCACCGGCCAGAGTAATTCCTGAGTGCAAAGCCAGGAATGACCCCCTGTGCATTGCCGGGTATGACCCAAAAAGCAAAAAAAGAAAGAAATCCATAGGCCCAAAGCAGAGGGATTTTAGTGGGCCAGGTTGGGGGGGGTGGGGAGGAGACAGATTGTCTGCCATAAATCCTCAAACGTTGCAAAATCCAGAATGAGAGCCACTTCTCTAGGGCCACAGTGCCAGCACAGCAGGGAGGGCGCTCACCTTGCAGGCTGTCTGTGTCCGATTCTAACCCCACCCCAACCCCCATCGGAACTGCTCCCTGCTGAGCTCCGAGTCAGAGTAAGCCCCAAGCAGTGCTGGGTGTGGCCCAAAATCGGCCAACCACAGAGCTGTCTCTGGGCTGCGGTTTCTCAGGGATGAGAGTAGATGGTACTGGCTGGGGAAGTTCCCCAGAAATGGCGCGGACAACCTTGTCATATAGAAATTGTACACGTTGAAGTACATACAGAAAGTACTAGATTTTCTACCAGCATTAAGAAGCAGCCTTTCCATGGAGAGCAAGAATAATTGTATACAAAGTAGAAAATCCCACTGTTACTTAGGGGCTCTGTGACCAAGGACAGATAACTTTTCTGTTTGAGTTTTTTTTTCAAATCCAGAACAAAAATAAAGTTCCTCTCACAGAGTTCTTTGGTATTAAAGATATTTGTGTGTGTATTATGTACATGCATAATCTCATTATCTGACCTGTAGTGAGGGGTTCAGTCGCAACTCCTGTTACCTTCCCTTCAGCGCTGGTCCTGGGCAGAAGCATGGGTTAGGAAAGGCAAGGGTCTGTTTGTATTTTGATTTGATTTCACAGATGTTTTAGCATGTTACTTGGGCTGGAGCGATAGCACAGCAGGTAGGGCATTTGTCTTGCACGTGACTGACCTGGGTTCAATTCTTCCGTTCCTCTCAGAGAGCCTGGCAAGCTACTAAGAGTATCCCGTCCGCATGGCAGAGCCTGGCAAGCTACCATGGCGTATTTGGTATGCCAAAAACAGTAACAAGTCTCACTTCGTGTTCCTGGAGCGAGCAGACACCATTGGGCTACACTAGCACGCGACAGGGACGAATGGAGATGTTACTGGTGCCCGCTCGAGCAAATCGATGAATAGGACGACAGTGCTGAAGTAGAAAAATATCCAATTCTGTGACAACTTAGCTGTAATAAAAATTGTTTAAAGTTAGTTGTGGACACCCAATAGAGAGAGAGAACAAAAGGGAATGCCCTGCCACAGAGGATGGAGGGGGTGGGGGGTGGGAGGGATAGTGGGATCCGTGGTGGTGGGAAATGGGCACAGGTGGAGGGATGGGTATTCAATCATTGTATAACTGAAACCCAAGCACAAAAATTTCTAAGTCTACAACTGTACCTCATGGTGTCTCACTAATAAAAATAAATAAAATTTTTAAAAAATAATAAAATAAGTTAGTTGTGGGAAAAAAGTACTAGGGGGCTGGAGTGATAGCACAGTGGGTAGGGCTTTTGCCTTGCACACGGCCCAACCCGGGTTCGATTCCCAGCATCCCATATGGTCCTCTTGACCTTCCTCCTTGACATTCCTTCTTGACCTTCATTTGTTCAACAAATACTTCTTGAACTTTCTGTGTGAGGGATGCTAAACACTCAGACAAAACACAGGTATTGCCCTGGCCTCAAAGAGCGCTGAGTAACCGACACTGGAGTGCTTGCTAGTGTGGCAGAGACCGCCAACCCAAGTGCTTTGTTGACTCAGGAAGACGGGGTGTCACGAAGACCTCCAGCAAGGAAGTCAACTCTGGCTCAGTGGCAAGCTAAGGCATTCAAAGTGCTGAGTATACACATGCTGGGGGAAAAGGCAGCTCAGATAGAGAAGGGACCACCAAGTAAAGGATGCTTGGAGGGCCTGCTTGGGATGGGAGATGCAAGCTGAAAGTAGACTATAGACCAACATGATGGCCACTCAATACCACTATTGCAAACCACAACACTCAAAAGGAGAGAGAGCAAAAGGGAATGCCCTACCACACAGGCCGGGTGGGGTGGGGGGATGGGGTGGGAATGGTAGTAAGGGATACTGGGATCATTGGTGGTGGAGAATGGGCACTGGTGGAAGGATGGGTACTTGATCAGTTTATGACTGAAGCATAAGCACGAAAGTTTGTAAGTCTGTAACTGTACCTCACGGTGATTCATTTAAAAAATAAAAGTTAAAAAAAATTTTAAAGTGCTGAGTTTAGGTGATGGTGCAGTGCGTAGGATGTTTGCCCCGTGTGCATCCAATGGGGATTCAATCCCCGGAACCCTATATGGTCCCCTGAGCCCAACAGGAGTGACCCCTGAGCTCAGAGGCAGGAATAACCCCTTAGCACCACCAGGTGGGGGGTGCACAAACCATTAAAATATTGAGTTTATCTGGACAAAAGTCCATATGGTGGCTCGGAGACCAAGTGGGCCCTGGTTGGCTCCACCAGCTGTGTGAAACTCACCCCACACACACCCACCACCACCACCACCACCACTACAGCCCCACCCCCGGCCAAGTTTCAGAGAAGGTTGCAGCTTTGGGTTTGAAAATGAAGCCAGTCTGACTCCAGAACCAGTCTAGAACAGGGAGAGCTGTCAAAGGGCTGATACCCCTGAGGCAAAACCAAAGGCCTGGAGCTGGGATTCCGCCCTGGAGCCCCTGGCCCCCGGAGTCCTGCTAGTGGGGGGGAGCCGCAGGTACCTCTCCCTCGGGAAGCTTCTTCTGTCCCCTCTTCTGAGGTGAGCATCATTGAAAAAGAGAAGGCGGGGCGGGGGGGGGGGGAGCTGGAGCAATAGCACAGTGGGTAGGGCATTTGCCTTGCACGCGGCCAACCCAGGTTCGATTCCCAGCATCCCATATGGTCCCCTGAGCACCGCCGGGGTAATTCCTGAGTGCAGAGCCAGGAGTAACCCATGAGCATTGCCGGTGTGACCCAAAATGCAAAAATAAAATAAAATAAAAAGAGAAGCCGGGGCTTATAAAACATCTTAAGCTGATTTGAGCAAACATCCACTCCAATACGGAAAACCAAACCGGAAATTACTGAGAGGCACTGCCACAGAAGTGTGGGAGTCTTTTTTATTAGGGGTGGGGTGCCTGACCCAGTGAGTACTTTGGGCTACTCCCAGTTTTATCTTTGGGGAGAGGTCACTTCCCCAGATAGTTGGGGACCTGGTGGTGCCAGGGTAGAACAGACACCGCCTTCTGCAAACACACACTCAAGCCCTCAGCCTTTTGAGGGTGAGAACTTTCCATGGATAAAAAGGAGAAACAAAATAAGAGCCTGGCAAGCTCCCCGTGACGTATTCGATATGCCAAACACAGTAACAACAAAGTCTCTAATGGAGACATTACTGGGCCCGCTCAAGCAAATTTATTGGCTCAACATTGCAGCCCAGTTGGTTGACAGGTGATTACCTGTCCTTACAGCGTGACTTCCTGGCTACAAGTCATTTAGAGGCCTAAATTTGGGTTTGCTTCTGCAGGCTACGTTTATTTTTTGGGGGGGGGAGGGGATCACACCCAGCATTGCACAGGGGTTATTCCTGGCTCCTGCACTCAGGAACCACTCCTGGCGGTGCTCGGGAGACCATATGGAATGCTGGGAATCGAACCCAGGTCTGCTGCGTGCAAGGCAAACGCCCTACCCACTGTGCTATTGCTCCAGCCCCTGCAGGCTACGTTTAAAGCCACCTCAGTCATGGAGCCTTGTATAATTATTACTCCAGAGCTGAAGTGTACACGGCATTTCCCAGTTTTTGTATGACTAAGATAAGCATTCTCTTACCTGACCTGTTTCTCATTTTAGCTTCCTCCCCATAAGCGACCCGCTGAGGTCCCTTCTCTGAGCTATAACAAGGTGTGGCCACGTGGCACATGCAGG